TGAAGGCAGATGCCCAACAACTGAGCTACCCAGGCACCCCAAGTCTATTCTCGTTTTGCATAATTCTTGTTTTTCTCATTTGCTCAGCTTGATTAATTTCCATTACTCTGTCTTCCAGGTCATTAATTCATTCCTCTGCTTCCTCTAGCCTGCTATTTGTTCCATGTAGTGTATTTTTAATTTTATTTATTATGTTCTTCATCTCTGATTGGTCCTTTTTTATTTCTTCCATCTCTTTCTTTAGGGTCTCACTAATGTCCTCCACTCTTTTCTCAAGTCCTGTGAGCATCTTCATGATCATTGCTTTAAATTCTCCATCCACCATATTACTTACATCCATTTTGCTTAGGTCTCTTCCTATGGTTTGTCCTGTTCTTTCATTTAGGACATATTTCTCTGTCTCTTCATTTTGTCGAGCTCTGTCTATTTCTGTGTGTTAGGAAAGTCAGCTACTTCTCCTGCACTTGAATTAATGGCCTTATGAGGAAGAGGTTCTGTAGTGCCCTGCAATGCAGTGTCCCCCTTTCACCTGAACCTGGCACTTCATGAATATCTCCTATGTGTGAAGCATGCACCCTACTATTGTGGCTGAGTTGCTTTTTCCTTCAGCCCAGGCATCTGCAGTGGCTCTCTTTGCTCTTTTGGGCAGTGCTTCATCCTAGTGGGTTAGGGGGTCAGTCTGGGGCCACCCTGACCTTGAGTTTAGTCAGACTAGGCATTTGCCAGAGATGCAGTAGCACCAAACTGCAGGGTGCTTTCCCTGTGTTGTCCCCTGAGAAGCTTTCGTTGGTGGGCAGGGCCTGCAGTCAGAGCAGATGTCTGCCCACAGCCAACTCTTGGGGCCTCCATCTGCCTGGCACGTGTAGTTATCTTTCCCCCTCTCCAGGGCAAGAGTCACTTTGGAGTGGTGCTGGCCATTGTGAGGGCTGCTTGCATACTGCCAAGCCTACAGCACCATCCTGTATGGGCTCTGGACAAAAGCGTATTGGAGGCGGCGGATCCCCCAAAGCACAGTGTGGGGACATGTTAGCAAGCTTTGCATGCCCTGAGAGGGACCCTGCAGCATCAGGACTAAAGCAGCCCATCTGGCTCCATGGAAGCCAAGTGGGGGGTTGGGGGTGTGGGGGTTATAGTGCCAGTAAGCTTTGTGCCCCCCTGTCTTCTACAGTAGGGGCCCAGCAACGCTGGAACTGAGGCACCATCCAAAGGGGTGGATCCTTGGAAGCACAGTACAGGGTGGGTGTGGCAGCCAGGTGGTGGTGCCAGCAAACCTTGCATCCCCATCTGGTGCAAGAGGGGCCCTGCCAGGCCAGACTGAGGTGGGCTATCCAGAGGGGTGGATTGGTGGAAGCACAGTGAATGGGGATGCGGCAGCAGTGCTAGCAAGTTAGGTAGCCAGTCCCTCTGGTGCCCATGTGTTTACACTGGGGGGCAAGGGAGAAAAATGGCATCTGCCAATTTCTTTGTTCATGGAGGAGTTCCCCAGTGATTTCTGTCAGCCTCCTGGACAGGCTCTGAGATGAGTAAATCACTCTCCCTCCCATGTGCCCCAGGCTCCTTTCAAACTGCTGTTTCTCTGCTGTACCTCCATAGATGTTTGTTGTGCTGTCTCTTTAAGGGCAGAGATTCGGTTTCCTATTGCCCTTGGCACTCCCAGAACAGAGCCTACTGATTTTTTTTAAATTCCAGGCTTTAAGCCCTGCTGATTGTAAGAACTCATGAAATCCAGCCCCTCTGGTTTTCAAAGCCAAACGTTAAAGGGGATTCAGGTGTCCCTATGCCCCTCCCCCAACCGATAGTCCTGTGAGTCCATTTAGCTCCCTATCTCTGCCCTTCCTACCCTTTTGAGTGTGACCTCTTCTCTACACTGAGTTGTGGAGTTTATTCTGCCAGTCTTCAGGTTGTTTTCTGAGTTATTTACACTGTTGTGAGTGTTCTCTAGTTATATCCGTGGGTTGAGGTGAGGCTAGGGTCCTCCTACACCACCATTTTCCTCAGCCTGCAGATTGATTTTTGAATGTTCAATCAACCGTGCTTTCCTGGGATAAACCTTACTCATCTTAATATACTATCCTTAGGCTATATTGCTGAAGATCTGAGTTTCCATCTGGTATCATTTCTCTATAACCTGAAGAATTCCCTTTACCATTTCTGATAGTGCTACTCTCTCAAGTAACAAATTCTTTCAGTTTTATTTTATCAGAAATATTTGCCCTTTTGCTTTTCTTGTTGAAGGACATTTTTGCTAAATATAGAAATCTTGGTTAACAGTTCCTTCTTTTTTTGGTTAGCACATTTAAGGTATTTTCCACTGTCTTGTGGCCTCCACATTTCTAATAAGAACTTCACAGTCATTGTTATGTGTTGTTTTTCTCTACTTTCAAGATTTTTACTTTTTCTTTGGTTTTCAGCAGTTTGACTCTGCTAGGCCCAGGAGTGGTTTTCCTTGTATTTATCTGGCTTGGGAGTCACTAAGTTTCTTGAATCCTAATCTACTGAAAAATTTGAGAAATTTCTTGCCATTCCTTGCTACCATCACCACTGCTGTTGCTGCTTCTGCTTCTTCTTCTCCTGCTCCTCCTCCTCTCTTTCTTCCTTTTCTTCCTTTTTTGCTACATTCTCTCTCCTCTCTTCTGGGACTCCAATTACATGTATGTTAGATCTGATATTGTCCCACAAGTCTGCAAGTTTCTGTTAATTAATTTTTTTAAAAAATTTTTTTCTTTCTTTTCTTAAGACTGGATAATTTCTATTGATACATCTTCAAATTTACTGAATCTTTCTATTATCTCCATTCTGATATTAGCCCCATCCATAATCTAACATATTCTATGTTTTAGTTCTAGAATTTTCATTAAGTTCCTTTTATAGTTTCTAGTTCTCTCCTGACACTTCTTATCTTTTCATTCATTGTGAACATATTTTTATATATATTCTTAAGCAAAGTTATAATAGCAGCTCTAAAATCTTTAACTGCTCATTTCAACATCTGGATCATTTCAGGATTGTCTCTATTGATTATTTTTTTTCCTGAGAATGGGTCACAATTTTTGGTTCTTCAAGTGTCAAAAAATTTTGGCTTGTATCCTGGACATAATAAATATTATGTTGTAGAGACTCTGGGTTATGTAATATTTCTCTAAAGAATATCAAATTTGTTTTGTTTTGTGACATAATTAACTTGACTTTTCCCAAACTGAAAACTGTAACTCTTTGTGTGCTAATTCAAATCTCAAATAAATTATTTTACTCTTAGCTGAAAGCCTTTCTGTGCATAGATGGCTCAGGAGTCAGTGAGAAACTTGGGATGATTCTATACACAGAATCAGAGATTCTTTTCTCTCTTGATTTCTTTTTTCCTGGACTCCCCAGTCACTTTCCAAAAATTGTGGTTGTTCCATCCAAGGTCTGCACTCTTGTACTTCAGGGCAGAAGGACTCTAGATTTTCTAGAGGAATTTTAGCTACACCACAAGGCACCAACTTTGATCTGTCCTCTGGCTAAATGTCAAAAATATATGTAGCTCACCCTACACTGATCCTTTTTGCCAAGCAGCAGCTTCCCTCCAGTACCTTCCTGCTCATATGTACTCCCCAGTGCCTTCAGATCATTGGTTGGGGGAAAAGGGACTTCCCGTTTTTTTGTTTTTTTATTTTGTCTATAGTCTATAATTATTATCTGTGGAAAGTTTGGGTCCTGTTGGAGGTACTAAACCATAACAGAGGCAGAATTCTCTACTTGTTCATGGATTATGAATATAATATAAAAGTTAATTATGCAGAGATATACACTTACAATGGCTAAAATGGTAGATTTTATGTTATGTAGATTTCACCACAATAAAAAAACTTAAGTTACTTATGCTAAGTATCTAACTTAAACAAGGCATTTTAAGTTTAAGTTGGAAAAAAATGCAATGAACCTAAACAAATTTCAATAATTTCTTATGCAAAAGAAAAATGCTTTCACAGAGCCACTATGAAAAAAAGGACTATATAGATGGTTTTCTGGAACAGCAAGGTACAAAACAGAATACCTCTGAGAGAAGGAAGAGGAAGAACAAGGTGTTTTAAAGACATATGGAAGTGGCGTACTCCTTCATCTGGAGAAAGGATTCTACCTACTCATCCCAGTCCAGTGCTTCTGCAACTTTAATGTGCCTATGAATCACCCGAGGGTCTTATAGAGCACAGTCTTAAGAAGATCCTGGGATCTTTCATTTGTGCATAAAATCTATCATTTGTAAGAAACTTATGACTTATATTTTACTTGTAGTTAATTACCTGCATTGACAAATGATACAAAATGGAGTGGGAGAAAGGTGGAGGATGGTGGGTCCCTAAGGAGTTGTAGCCCTGGCTCCATATAAATGGGCATCTCATGAAAAGAGTACCTTTTTAAAGGCAACATTAACAAAACATCACTTTAAAAGCACACAACACAAAGTGATAATATGGACCAAATTTATGAACATTATATCTTCCTCTACCATACATTCCTCTTGGCTAATTTCTAGTGAACCCAACTGTCCTACAGAAGGGATGAAAAATCAGTGTTTCTTATTAAGTGTCAATGGCAGATTCATTAATTGATCATGATGTACTTCCTCATGGAGTCTAGATTCAGAATCTGTCTGAAAACAGGATTTAGGATCAGCACAGAAGTTGACACCTATTTGCCCTACTATCTTAGACCCTTCCTACCACAAGATGGATAGCATCCATGGTGACAGCCAGCAATTCTCCTCCCTATTTAGGCAAAGACCTAAATGAAGAATCTAATCAATAAAATTTGGACAAACATGTCTCAGTCCATTTTCCGTACAACCCCGAAATTATATCCAGCTAACAAGGACTTTTGTGTACAAAAGTAGAGAAATGTTTATAGAAAATACTTTCAATTGCATATCACTTTATTGATACCTCTCTGGGAGACTGGCTTAATGAATGCTCCTTTCCTACAGTGACGTATGAAAGGATTTGACCTAAATTTTGACTCACCTGACAATTAATGCAGACTCCTCCACCTGCATAGATGCCGTGGATATTCAAGCTGGCCTGCTGCCTCTCAACATCTGGATCATAGTAACAGTCGAGGGCGTGACCATGGCAGTTGCATGCTGAAAAAGGCATTCTAAGTTAGTGTTCCATCATTACTATGAGACATTTCGTAAATTCCCCTAGATAGGATTACCACTCATTGCACCACTTTATTAAGTCTATTCTGGAACACCATATTCTCAGTGGAAAATTTTAGGGATTTTTTACACAAAGACTCACCTATAACAATATGCAATTAACACCTTCTTTCATTTGGTATTAAATGGGAGAGGCTTCTCTCTATATATATAGGCTTCATGCACAATGCGAATATACTTCTACCACTATTACTACTATTACCAAGAATAATTGAGCTCTTGGTACACTGTGAAAAGTGTTTTACGTGCATTATTTCATTTAATCTATGCAACAAGTCTCTAACATAGATACTATTATCCCCAGGGCCCAGATGGGGAGGCTGAGAATGAGGCTTTGAGAGGTTAAAGCATGTCTCCAATAAGAGAGGCAGAATCCTGACTTGTATTTGACTCCAAAACCTATTCTTTCAGCCAATATTCTAAGTTTCTCATCTCAGCACTATTTACAGTAGCAATAAACTGGAAATAATCTTAATGTCTAATTCTAGGGAAATGGTAAATAAACAACAGCATCTTTGCTTGACTGTCAGTTCTGTGAAGGCAGGGACACCTTGTGTTTTGTTTGCAGTAGAACCCAGTCTGCAGCACATAGTGAATACTCAGCAAACACTTGCTGGATACACCTGACTCCACAGAATGACAACACTGTGGGCCATCAAGAAGGATGTTGAAGGGTTCTTAATAAAATGGGAAAATATCTAAAAGTATAAAGTGAAAAAGAGCTGGACATAAAATTATATAAATAATTGTATAAGTAATTACATAAATAATCTAATATATATTAAATAATATTAAAGTATGCATGAAGAAAACACTAAAATACTAACAAAATGTTAATAGTGGTTCTCTTTGGGTAACAAAATAATCGGTGATTCTATTTTTTTTTATGATGTCCAAGTTATCTACAAGTAATGTATAATACTTCTAAAATTTAAGAACAAAATTTAAAACCCATCTAGGATTTTCATCATTGCCAAGATGGAAAAGATCTAACATGAGTAAAATTCTTATTCTCTTTTAGAGAGAATATATATTCATTGCATTCCATGTAGATCAAATTTCCCAGGTCTTTCTAGTAATTTGTATGTTTTAATCAAGTTTCCAGATAAATCTATTAGGGAAGAAGAGTGAGTTAGAATTTCAAGTTGCCCTGTTTGTAACAGGCTGAGCACCTTCTTATTTTCATTTCTCCAGTGGTGCCATGATTTAAAAAATTCAAGGCATTTATATTAACTAAATCAGTTATTTCTCAAGAAATCCATTCATTTTGAATTGCACTAATTCAAATGGAATTGAGAAAGCACCTAACGAATGGATCTTAACTGGTCCGATTTCCATATGCTATTTTTTTTGTAATTTGTAATCACTTTGACAAGTTTACAAAGCTTAAACTCTTATGAAAGGAAATTTTTAAAATTTTCCTATGTGCTGGAGTTAAGCATGTCGTTCACTGAAAGGTTCCATTAACCTGGAAAACTAACCAAATTGCTAATGTTGGAGTTCATGTGATAACACTCATTCAATCAAAATAGCCTAAACCGGTACTCGAAAGCACTGGAAGAAACAATTCCTGATTATTACCTTTCCTTCTTTCTGGTCCCATTCTCCAGGGAGAGGGATGAGGACATCATTGAGAAGGAACCTGTTAGCTATGACTATAAAGTGAGAACGGCCAACCAGCTAACACCTCTGGACACCCAGACAGCCCTGGACCTAGAGATGCTGCTTGGGCAGCATCAACACGTCACAACAGTGTTAGGAACTCTCAAAGTGCCCTCAGAACTCCTCAGTAAAAATCCTTTTGAGTGTTTGCTAGTCATAGAGATCATATCAGTCTTATCTCTTAGCTACAAAAACCATTTGGCCAAAAAATATAAAGTACAGATTCTTTCTTACCCACTTAGTTCATCAAACCTGAATCCAAATACCTTTTGGTCATTTAAAAAAAGCAAATTCCTCTCCAAATGCTAAAAAGATTCAAAAAAATCAATCAATAAATAAAATAAAATAAAAATATTTAGGAAAAAATAGGCCACAGTCTCCAAAGCCAATAACTAAAACTTACAAAAGTGTTTTCAGCAACTGGAATAAATGTGTGGCTTCCAAAGAAGATCAGTTTACAAGGGAATCTTCAGTTGGATGTCTGAGGGCTTATTTGTTAAAAATAACAGTTTTCTTACTTTATATTACACCATAATTAAAAGCAGCCTCTCATCTTTGTTCCTTCCTTCTCTGGTCCCCTCCACCCTGCAGCCGCCCTAATCCTACTGCAGTATTCCCACCCCCACCCTCCGGTCACTGTTTCCAGCTCTCTGTTCAGACACCAATCTCAAAACCTTCTCCCGACCTCCGTCCTCACAAGAGTTAGGATTCCGATCCAGTATCACATCCTAAGAAATGGTAAGGGTTTACAGTTTAATAGTGGCTACATGATATTTTAGACTACTAAAAAGAGAGGCCAGCATTAAGTGAATGCTTAATACATATTAGCAATTATTACTAGCTATTATTTTTTGTTCTCCTGTTTATATCTGAATTTAAAATGGGGCACTTTTATCTCCAGGCTGTGAGTTTCTCATTACAATAGACACACCTGAGTCCCTAAGACTGACACAACCCCACCCTCTTCAGAAACACAGGGAAAATCTAGCGTCAGGGAGAAATGGGCGGGGCCTCGCTCCCTGGCACACACACACACACACACACACCCCACCGTGCTCACCTTCACACTCATTGCTCTGCTCCCACGTGGCGGGTCGCCAGCGCCTCTGGTTGTACCCGGCACAACAGTGATCACACGTCCTCCCACAGGTGTGGTGCTGGCATTCACACCGAAACCTGGGCATGTGGCCAAGCACATCTCAGTTATTCAAAAGTTTTGATTAAGATCAGTTGTTCCTGTATGAGAAACTGACAGTCATGGTGGTTACCCAAGGCACCATTCATGGACTAATTATGAGAACAAAGCACTTTGCATACATCATTAGTTCCAGTCTGCTTATTGTCTCTACTTTGTAGATGGTGACACTGAGATTCTGAGATACTAAAACACTTGCCAAAGGTCAAGTGATGATAAATGGAGAGCCAGACTTCAAACCTAAGTTTGTCTTGACTCCAAAGTTCCAGCTTTCTTCTCTACCACCTTCCAGAACAGGAAATGGACACAGGAGCAAGTGTTGAGTTTACTGGGAGGTGTTGAGTATCACATCTTCAGGAAGATCTGGAGCAGTCCCGTGAGAAAGGTCTGCTCAGGTCTCGTTGCTCTCAGCCTGGGGTCATGCACAGAGATTCACCAAACCCAAGAGCCAGTTCCTAACAAGTTCTCAGAGGACCCTGCTCCAGAAGGCTGCCCCAGCTCTAACAAACAGCTCCTTGCAAGGGCAAAAACAGATTACTCAGCAAGGCATAGGGGTAACAATCTAAAAATCTACCTTCAAAGAATTATACATCTGCACTAAAACCATTCCAGGGTAAAATGAAATTGTTGCCACGGCACTGGATTAGAACTCCTAAGCTCTTAGTTCTCACTCCTCTGTGCTTAAAAGAGGATTCAAAACAGTTGTCTAAGGCTGTGCCTGTGGAGATTCGCTCAACTCTTCTGAGGGGGCGGTGGGGGGTGGCATATATTCAGTTACATTCCGGAGGGAAGGCACCATCCCTCTCCCAGCTCAGCTGCCTGTTACAGCAAAAGGACACAGATTTTCCTGAGAGCATAGAACAGCTGGTATCCAAATGGACTTTTGTCAGACAATTTCACCTCATTGCCAATAAAGTATATGCATAAGCTGAACTGAAAGAATTATTTAGGGAATATTGCTTGAAGAACATATAGTCCAGCTACTCTCATAGAAAGATTAAAATTGCAAGCATAAAAAAAGATGGGTACTAGTCTGAATTATATTGGTATCACCCACAAATAATTGCTTTTTCTGATTCTTTCTCAGCCTAGGCTGCTGGTTGTTGATATAGAAAACTCATCCTTGCCTCTGCTGTAAGGACGTTATTGAAGAGGTTCCTGACTAGAGAATCCTCTTCGTGATGATCACCCCACACTACTCCCAGAGAAATTTCTTATCCGATCCTAGTGTCAATAGTCATGCTTCTCCTAAACAACTGATCACTTCTTAGATTATGATCATAGTGAGAAACTAGGCAGTTTCCCTTTTGAGCTGACCGCTAGGAAGCTCAGAATTAAATTTGTGATCCACCCACATTTCCATGAACCAAGTCTTAATGGTAGACATGCTTAATTCAAGCCCTCTTCTGCCTCTTCATGGGTTCTACTTGATTAACAACTAAATTTTCTGATTGCCAGGCTTTGCATCGCCTTAAATATGTTATAAGATTTTTCCCTTTGACCTTAGCCCAACAACTTCTTGCTAGACGTGTCTCCAAAGGCAAGAGAAACAAAAGCAAAAATGAACTATTGGGACCTCGTCAAAATAAAAAGATTTTGCACAGCAAAGGAAACAGTCAACAAAACTAAAAAGCAACCTACAGAATGGGAGAAGATATTTGCAAATATCTTATCAGATAAAGGGCTAGTATCCAAAACCTGTAAAGAATTTATCAAACTCAACACCCCAAAAAACAAAAAATCCAGTTATGAAATGGGCAGAAGACATGAACAGACATTTCTCCAAAGAAGACGTACAAATGGCCAACAGACACATGAAAAAATACTCAGTATCACTTGGCATCAGGGAAATACATATCAAAAGCACAATGAGATACCACCTCACACTAGTCAGAATGGCTAAAATTAACAAGTCAGGAAACAACGGATGTTGGTGAGGCTGCGGAGAAAGGGGAACCCTCCTACACTGTTGGTGGGAATGCAAGCTGGGGCAGCCACTCTGGAAACCAGTATGGAGGTTCCTCAAAAAGTTGAAAATAGAGCTACCCTACGATCCAGCAATTGCACTACTGGGTATTTATCCAAAGGATATGAACATAGTGAATCAAAGGGGCACATGCACCCCAATGTTTATAGCAGCAATGTCGACAATAGCCTAAATATGGAACAGCCCAGATGTCCATCGACAGATGAACGGATAAAGAAGATGTGGTATATATACACAATGGAATATTATGCAGCCAACAAAAAGAATGAAATCTTGCCATTTGCAATGAGGTGGATGGAACTAGAGGGTATTATGCTAAGCGAAATAAGTCAGTCAGAGAAAGACAAATACCATATGATTTCACTCATATGTGGAATTTAAGAAACAAAACAGATGAACAGGGGAAGGGAAGGAAAAATAAAATAAGATGAAAATTGGGAGGGAGGCAAACCATAAGAAAGGGTGAACTCTAGAAAACAAACTGAGGGTTGCTGGAGCAGAGAGGGGTAGGGGATGAGATAACTGGGTGATGGGCATTAAGGAGGGCACTTGATGTAATGACCACTGGGTGTTATATGCAACTGATGAATCACTAAATTCTACCCCTGAAACTAATTTAAAAAACATTTTTAAAAGATTTTTTTCCTATTTGTGGGTGTGAATTTCCTCAGCATTTGCATGAATACGCCTGTTGGGCAGAAGCAAACCAGCAAGCAGTGGGAGGCAAGGCTGTTGTGTTGGTGTAAACTGAGGCTAGGGGAAACAGTTTGTCTACTCACCTTGGTTTCTCACTCTGTACCACCCAGTATAGAACCCTTCCAGGTCTGCCAAGGTCAACAGGGCTTGGCAGCCCTTCCAAGCAGGAAGCTCAGCCCTTCTCCAATGATTTCAACTCCTCTCCCATGTGGTGCCATTTTGTCTCAGGCTAAGGGATATTAGACCGACCTCTTTTCTCCCCTCTCTCTCCAACTCAGGACTTCTCTGATCTGACTTCCAATGTCTTAGGTCCCTACCCTCCAGGAGGCAATGGATTAATCATTAATAAACTAGTGCTTGCCAGTTAAAGCCTAGTCAGTTGATGGATTCGTGTTGCTGTCTCAGCACCCCTGATCTCTGAGGCAGGGCTGACAACATTAGGGATTGCTACTGGTCAGGGACAGGGCTCTACGCTACCTAAGCTGGTAGCTGGCACCTCTGCCTGAGCACGAAGCCTAATAATGTACAAACCTCATCTGATTAAAAATAAAACATCTCTGGTAAATGTTGCTCATGGGGAATCATAGACTCTAAACAAAACATTGAGAGAAAATTACTGCTGTATCTCGCATCCAGTCATTTCCAGCCACAATAGCATCCCTCTTGTGTTGATGACATGAATGTGTACAGTTGCTGAACACTTACTAGTTAATATCCACACATCTTATTGTATGTAAAATAGACCTCAATAAAAAACAAAAATGGGTACACCCATGTTCATAGCAGCATCCTTCACTATAACCAAAAGGTGGCAGTAACCTAAAAGTTCATCAACAGATGAATGGATAAGCAAAATATGGTATATACATAACAAAATATTATTCAGCCTTAAAAAAGAAGGAGATTCTGACACATGCTACAACACAGATGAACCTTGGGAACATTATGTTAAGTGAAAGAAACCAGTTGCAACAAGATAAATATCAGGTGATTCCACTTACATGAAATACCTAGAGTAGTCAATTTTTTTGAATTTTATTTTATTATGTTATGTTAGTCACCATACATTACATCATTAGTTTTTTTTTTTTTAAAGATTTTTATTTATTTATTTGAGACAGAGAGAATGAGAGAG